TCAAGTATTAGAAGCTAAGTAGCATGAATGTTGTCATTTAAATATCTGTATTGAAAGTTATAGCTCATAGAGATTTAATGAAATAGAGTTCTTAAACATTTGTTTTTAATTTCCTGTAGAACTTTGCTCAATAGAAGATGCAAACAACATTCACATTCAATTTCATATGTGGATGAATGACTGTATTTTTACTCCAAACCTCTGAGACAACGGTACTTACAGGGATTTATTGGGATTATATTCTCTCCCCTTCACATCAGATGCTTCTAATTTAGCTTTAGAGGCCTTCAAAGAAAGTTACGTTTTGTATCCACATTCATGGCTGACAACCACCTATTTTCTCACTTGAAATAATTTGGGTAGATAACAGCTGTACTGAAAAAGAACTGCAAACCCCATAATCCACTGGCTGTGATGTATTCTCTTAGGCTGGCAGCAAGTTAGTCAAGTCACCGCTACCCTTTACTGCAGCATAACACTTTCCTTCATAATACACAGGTTGCTGACAGATGATCAAATAGTACATTTTCACTTTGGCACTGGTTAGTCCTCAGCTGGAGTACTGTGTCCAATTCTGGTCACCAGTGTATAGAAAGGACGTGGAGATACTGAAAAGGATCCAGAGGCGAGCAACAAAGACGATCAAAGGGATGGAATGCAAGCCATATGAGCAAAGGCTGAAGGAACCGGGTATGTTTAGTTTGAAAGAGAGGAGATTGAGGGGGGGCATGATAGCAGTCTTCAAATACTTGAAAGGCTGCCATAAAAATATATATATACGCAGAAAAGTTGTTCTCTCTTGCCACAGACAGCAGGACAAGAGGCAATTGGTTCAAACTACAGCATAGATTTAGATTAAATCTCAGGGAAAACTTCCTAATTGTAAGAACAGTAGGACAAAGAAAAAGACTGCCTAGAGAGGTTGTGGAAGCTCCTTCGCTGGAGATTTTGAAAAGGAGGCTGGATAGCCATTTGTCTTGTATGGTGTAGCCACAACAAATTCTGCATCTTGGCAGGGGGTTAGACTAGATGACCCTTTCGGTCCCTTCTAACTATTATTCTATGATTCCAGCAGTACCATGTGCGCTAACAATTACATAGCTTAGTTACACAGGATGCACCATCCCAGCACTGTAAAAACAAATGCACCTACTATCAGGTATTTGAGAGTCATTAAAATGATCTAAAATTGATTTAAAGATACACCTCTACCCTGATATAACAGGGTCCTCGGGAGCCAAAAAAATCTTACCGTGTTATAGGTGAAACTGCGTTATATCCAACTTGCTTTGGTTCGAGCATTTCCGTTATTAATAGTCACCTCCTGCCCCCTGACTCCTCAGAACCCCCCAACCCATCCAACCCCCCCAGCTCTGTCCCCCGACTACCCCCTCCAGAGACCTCTTGCCCCAACCACCCCTCCCAAGACCCCACCCTCTAAGACCCCTGCTCCTTCTCCCCTGACCGCCCCCTCCAGAGACCCCCCCCATCCCTAATCACCCCCAGGACCCCACTCCCTACCCAACCCCCCCTGTTCCTGTCCCTTGACTGCCCCGACCCTTAACTACACCCCTGCCCCCTGACAGGCCCCCAGGGACTCCCACGCCCTATCCAACTCCCCCTTTCCCCATCCCGACTGCCCTACCCCCAGAACCTCCGAACCATCCAACCCTGCCTGCTCCCTGTCCCGACTGCCCCCGAGACCCTCGGCCCCTTATCCATCCCCTTGGCCCCAGCCCAGCACCCTTAACATGCCGCTCAGAGCAACGTGTTGGAGCCAGACACGCTGATCTGCCGGAGCATGCAGCCGTGACCCCCAGAGCACTGCTTTACTGCATTATATCCGAATTCGTGTTATATCAGGTTGCGTTATATCAGGGTAGAGGTGTATTAGATTGTGAATATACTGAAAACCACAGGTACAGCACAGCCTGTGCTCACAAGTGGAAACATCCATTGGGATCTGGTGAGCACATTACACAATTTCTGGCAAATACAGAGCAGGTTGCATTGGATTAACCTCAAATTTTCCACCACTTAATAGTCCCCAAGGTCAGGATAATAAGGTATGAGATACAATTGCAGCTGTCTACAGTTAAAAAATTTTATCAATCCTTAACATTTGCTCCACCACTAACTCAACTAAATCTTTGGACGGAGAGTACACCACAGCTACTTTTCCAGGATTTAAAAAGAAGACAGTGGTGAAAGCAAGCATTTTAGGCAATTCATATGAAGTACTGTGGTGCAAAGAACTGACGGGTTTTAGGTTATGAGACTAAGTACTAGAGAACAGTTTTTGTTCTTAATATTACATGTGCAAGATTTGTGCTATCTGTTCTACAAAAAGTAATTCACTATAAAGACAAAGTGTGTGTGTATGTCATGACCACTCATTCCGTAAGACAAGCACACAGAGGTTCTTGTGAACTTATATTTGAAATAGATTGTTTCTTTCCCATCTCACTGAACGAAGTCTCTGAGCAAACTGACTATATATGCTAGTACTATGCTACTCTTATATGTATTACAGAAGATACTATCCAAAAGTTCTAAATATTTTAGAAAGTTGCAGCGAATTAAATATCCAAGTATTTTACCTCAGATTTTTGGCTCAGAACATCAGATGGCTTTTATGATGTGGGATCACTTCATTTTGAGGTGCCTGACAAACTAGATATCAATCTGCTCTATACATCTAGAGATGTCTAAAAAAACCACAGTGTGAATTTTTTGTCTTCTGAAAACAGCCTGCTTTAAATCACAAAGTAAGGCTTATTTACTGAAATACTGTAATTGTTTCTGTTTGCAGGAAAGAATATATAATACCAGAGTGAAACAGGATTTCACATTATGAAAATTTTCATTGTGTGTTTATTACTTTCAAAAAGCATTGACTGACCTCTAGGAATTTGTTTAATTGTTCAGGGAAAAAACCTAGTATAGTTGGAAAGTTAATTAGCATCCGAGCAAAATCAATTTGGACCAATATGTATGTGTGTGTGGTTTTTGGGTTTTTTTAGAAAACATACTAGATATTCAATAGTTACATGAACGTGATATCAGAGTAACTGAACACGGTTGGAAGAAACTCAGTATTTTGGAAACCAACTGACTTGTCAGTTGCAAGGCGGCATATTAATCTTCTAAAACTGCATCACAATAAAGATTCTTTAATGGGTTCAATCATTAAATCCTGACACTGTGTATTTTAGTTTTACAACTACATTCAATTTAAGTTTAAATTTGTATTCCTCATCTCTGCTTTGCCAATATGGGCAAAATGGAAAAACTTGGGATGGGAATTGTTCTGGAATGAAGGCAGCCAAATTCTTCACAAGATCGTACAAAGCTGGAACAGGGAAAAAAAAAAAAAAAGATATTAACTCAAATGGTCAGGTACAGACCAAAACTAGGAAGGAAAAATGTAGATCAACTGCATGAAAATGCCCCAACACTGAGCAACAGACATGCAAGAGTAGCTAACAATAGTGGAGATTGGGCTTAATTAGCTTTTGACAGATGAAAAAAATGGTGATTGAAAACATTTCCCTACTGTATAAGTCATATTTTCTGTCTATAATTCAAATCTATGGAACAGAACTGAATTTATGGAGAAATAATTTGACAAGCTTTACCTAAGGCAAGAGCTCTCTACAAGAGCCAGTTTTTGGGGAAATAGATGAATGCTTAGTCTCAAAATTAGAACCCTAAGTATATACCAATAGTACTTTACAGCAAACGATCTTTTAAAAGTGCTGAATGAGAACGAATTTACATTTTAAAGGGTGTCTCTCCTCTAAATATCATGTACACAGAAAACACCCTAAAAATTTTTCAAAGCTTTTTGAGAAACACACACAAGTAATTCAGATTTAGTCGATTTTATTTACAGTTTTTGTACATTTCAGAGCATTACACAATTACATATTCTCATTTTCTGACCTGCAAACAGATACCTTAAAACGGAAATATTAAAAAAAAATATGAAGTTAGATACATCCAAAATGCAACAATTACACATCTGACAATTCACAAAGTGTAATTTACTAGGACGTATCCTAAGAATTTAGTAACAACCAGTCAGAAGAAAATCTGACTAATTTCAGCAATCAATTATTTACACATTCAAACAAAACCTCTCTTGCTCTAAACTCCCAGACAAGTGGCCTGGAAGATTTTTCAGTGGAAGAAAGACAGGAAGTTATGATTCACACCTATGCAGCATTAACAGCCCTTGATCCCAAAATTCTGAGAAACATTTCAGCTTTGCCTTTGGGCAAGAGGCATCCCCTCAGCTTGTCAGACCCTGAAGTGTCGTACTTGTGCCCCTGTGTGCATAGAAAGGCTGAGCGTTTGGGAAAAAAGTGGTCACCAAGACCTCATTTAATCTGGCCTTTAAACTCTGTTTAAAGGGTTTAGTTAAATTGGTTTCTAACATAATTTAAACTGGCCAGTGTGGATGAAACCAAGCATGTTTTTAAACATGGTTTGAACTCACTTTGGCCCCATTCACACTGACCAGCTATATGTATAGAAACTACTTAATGCAGAAGTGTTGAAACAAGGTTTAAAGGCCAATATAAACAGGACTTAAGGTTCTGCACTTCCCCTGGTGGGCCACCCAGGTCACAGCTATTACTTCCATCCCTTGTTTACCCTTTGCCATATAGTGACTAGATACATACCGGCTAGAAACTACTAAAAATTCCCTGCAAATAAACTGCCTTTCAGCTGAGGCTATGGCTCCTATGCATGGGAGGAGTTTTTAATTTAAAAAAAGATTCTCATTTGAAAAATACTGAAGTTCTCACTTTAGATTAATTTTGATTGCATGTTCAATTTGTTTAGTTTAACTTTTAAGAAACTGCTACAAATCAGAACAATTTTAGTATAAAAAGAGCAGCCAACTGAGTGCAACGTTCTGAATTGGCCAAGTCCTTCATGGTAGTTCTCTAACTAGGCTATAAATTTTGTGGAGCCTCCAAATTCTTGCCTACCTTACTTTCCACGTTCACGTTTCAAACTGTGTCAGCAGGGCCCGAACTTCGGGAGTCAGCTGCTTAGCAGCCTTAGCGGCCTCTGTGATGGCCTTGCGGTAAAGGCCCTTTCTCTTCTTATTAAAGCGCGACTGAAAGTTTTCTAAAAAGGGGGACAGTTGTGAAAGAGCAAGAAAAGATGTTGTTGGGGACCCAAACCACGAAATGCGGGCCTCCTGTCGAACTAAAAGGCCATTATCTTTCCGGCTCACAGTTATAGTAAGAATACGGGCTGGCCACCAAGGGAAGCCATAAATCTTGGCCCAAACAATGTCCCCTACACATATGGTCCTGCCATCTGGTGTGACACATTTAGAGACGTTTTTGGAAAAGACTTTCATTTTCAAGGAATTACTGAGCTTTTTCTCTTCCTTTGAAGAGGAGGAGGAGGAGGAGGAAGAGGAAGGTGCATGCATGCTGCCTGGAGGAAAATCAAAGCTTTCAGTAGAACTACACTCAGAGTTGGTGGATTTCAAATCATCTGTGCTATCACTACTACACACTGATGCACTGGAAGAGTCAGATTTCTTTTGATTAAGGGTCATGTAAACCGTTATATTGCTTTTGCTGCCTCTCTTGCCCAATGTCTGGTGTTCATCCTGATCAACAGTTACATGCACTTCACTTGTGTCCTGAACCTCACTGCTGGCCTCTTCAGGGCCTTCTGAGGGGCTCTGATTTTCTGAAGGGGCCTCACCTGCTGAGCGGGTGGAGGAGCAGCGAGACTGGGGCTTAGTTGCCATCTTGCCACTCCGTATTTTCTCAAGTCCTGTCTTGAGAGATGAGTCGTTTTCTTCATTCCGGTACCTTTGTGGTTTTAAACGCAATCGGGGTGGGAGGGAACCTGAGCTGGTGTTCTGAAGACGCCGTGTGAAATGGACCTTTGAATGTGCATTTTTGGAAGTGGAAGTTGCACTCTGTTTCTTTTGTGCCTTTTCTTTGGCCATTTTCAAAACTTCCCGAGCTTTTGCATGATCCATGTTTTTGCTCTGGAGAACTTTTTTAGTATTTAACTGAGCTTTCGAAGTGTTTGCTTGAGCAGAAACTTTAACTACTTTGCTTCTGCTGTGGGCAATATTTGAAACTTTGACCACAGCATTTCTTTTCTGGCTTTCATTTTGGCTTTTTCCATCTACTTTATGGTCAGTTTTAAGTCTTTTATTCACAGTAGTCACACTCTCATTCCTTCGCTTTTTATGATCCTCATATTTTAAGCAGTCACTTGCATTGCCACTTTTTTTAATTTCTTTTTTTTCTGCAACAACACTGTTTTTACATTTGTCACATAAGACCTGCCTGGGTCGTAATTTGATAGCATTCATAATAGAAGTGGGTTCCTCCCTGTACATTTTCCGTTTGGGCCGCTTAATTTTTCGGGGCGGAGGCTGAGGTATTGATTGGTTATACGTGTCCCTGATAAACAATGGAGGAGGATATGGCGCTCCCTCATGGAAGAGGGGAGGTGGTTTAGAAGTCCATAGGCTTTTAGCGAGGCTAGGTTCTGATGGCTGAATGGGAGAAGAGGAGTTATCAGGGACTGCACCACTGGCTTCACACTTCACCTGTGTCTCATCTTGGAATGGTTTACTTTGGAGCTGCATGGCTTCAGGTTTATCCTTGTATTCCCTTTTAGGAAATATGGTCACAGGGATTCCATGGGGTCCAAACCTTAAAGGGGAAAAAAAAGAATTTTAAGTGTCTTCATTTTTTACTACACTGAAACAAGATATTTTTAAGACGTCCATGCTAAGGAACTGCTATTTTTAAAGACATTTTAGCTATTTATCCAGAGTCTAAGAATGTAGTTTTATTTTTCCTCAAAACAAAACACTGGACCTATAAGTTTAACAATATATAGTTTGTATAAGGGCATGGCTACACTGGAAACTTCAAACCGCTGTTGCGGGAGCGCTCCTGTGGCAGCGCTTTGAAGTGCAAGTGTGGCCACGCGCGAGCTCCCAGCGCTCCTGATAGTCTACCTCTACGAGGGGATTAGCTCCCAGCACTCGGAGCCTATTTACACTAGTGCTTTAAAGCGCTCTGACTTGCTGCGCTCAGGGGGGTGATTTTTCACACCCCTGAGCCAGCAAGTTAGAGGGCTATAAAATGTAAGTGTAGCCAAGCCCTTGGTCACTGAACACAGGCTCCAGACTCATGAACAAATCTTACACAATAGTATCAATTTCTGAAGCTACAGTTTAAGTGGTTACCACAAGAAGCCCTAAACACACATTACTGTAGTCTAGTCTAAAGATCTCACTAATAGAAACAGGATCTACTTTGTAGTTCGACAGAAAATGAATGCTGAGAGATAGCTAATTCCAAAGGAGAGTGGATTTATCACCTCCCCACAAAGTCAGCACAAATTAAATTGCATGCTAATCCAAATGAGGCACAAAATTCCTAGAAGTCTTTTGTGCAATACAAAAATATTTAGAATTTTTTTAGAGTTATCAAAGCAGATTCAGTATGTTTTAAAAGTATTCAGTATATACATGCTAGTACCTGTTATAATGGATAAAATAAAATGTAAGCGATAGCAACCTTCATGCTTAATACACAAGAAGTTTTCCTTAAGAACAGTACTTGATCATTTGATGCATTACGTACAGTCTGAGACAGAATGCCAAGCAACTTTGGGTCTGTTCTGGCAAAGATATCCTTGTTACTTCAATACACTTGATACAAATATGCTCTCCCTTTTCTTCCCCCTACTGCACACCATGTCTTAAGCCATTCTATTTCTCCCAGCTAGCCCTAGTCAAGTTTTAAGATTTATACTGTAGCTACAACTCTTTTGGTGGAGTATGTGCAGGAGACTCAAACGCTTAATTCTAATACAATGGAAAAGAAATCCCTGAAAGAGCAGTAGGCATTGGCTCAATTTTGACTGGGCAACATGCTTCTGCAGTGACCACCCAGAGGCATGTAACATTTCCTGACATGCTATAGAGAGAAAGCCATGTTTTGTCATTCTACAACACCTTTGAGGCAAAAGCAAGTGGGAGAAGTGGTAATTTCCCAAGTTTCATAACCACCTAACCACTTTCAAATATCCCTGATGCTTGTAGGGTTAAACCCTTTTCCATTTGTGTTTACATTTTAAATATCAACAGTACACAGCCTGTCTTCACTGCCTTATTAGCTTAAGGTATAACTCAAGTTTTGCCCCTAACTTGACTCCAATTCACACACAAGATCTCTAGCTCAAGTTAAGTGGCATTTTAAACTCAAGCTAGCTAGACCATTAGAGATATGATTTGAAGCTCAAGTGCTACTGAGGTTCACAGGAGTTAATAATGCAGTGGGGATTAACAGATAGTTACAACTCATTAGCTGCTAATCCAACCGCTCCAGTGCATTAACTTGAGCTAACCATTGCTCAAGCCCATAGATGAGAGACTGTCATGCAGCATGCATTAGTGTTGGCTCTACCATTCTTTCTTTTCAACATGAACTAAGTGCATAATTGCAGTAAATAAGTTAGGTACTTACAGACAGGTGTCACTTACCAATACACCTTAAGTAAATGCAAACATGCTGAATGCTTCAAACTGTTGCAAGAAGCAGGCTGTTTGAACAAATGCCTATGTAATGCCTTTCATTTCTTGCTGCTCTATTATGAAACAGGGCGTTGTATGTGCTAGAAGATTCCTTACATTGTCAACACAAGTCTTTACTGATTTACTTTAATGCATACTGATTAAATGTGGTTTAAAAAAGTTATAGGTTATAAACAAAGCAATTTTCAGATAAAGTTGAAATGAATATGCCACATCCAAACTCACATGGGCCATTATTCCTCCCAGTTGTAGAGGAAGAGCAACCTCAATGAGTTTGGTTTCCACAAAAGTGCTGAAAGTAAACACCTGAAAACTTACAGAAAACTGACATAGTCATTACTGTTACCTACACACCAGCTACTGTTCATCTGACCTTTGAGCTATAAATAGCATGTGTTAACAGTTTAAGCACTACAGTGAACCTCTACACATGCTAGTGTGTATTGTTCTTCCCTTCCCCACAAAATAAACTAGATTCCCTTTGAAATTCAGTTCAGAGTCCTCTACCTGCTTAATATCTAAAGTTTAGACATTCCTCCATTAATTCAGAAGAACACTGTTCATTTTAACTATTTCTCTGATGCATTATTGAAGGCTTCAGACACTGTACTATATATATATATATATATATATATATATATATATACACACACACACACACACACACACATACATACACACACACACAGAAAAGAACAAATACTGCTACAGTTATTTGAAGAAAGAGTACATCAGGCATAAATCCACTGTGGGACTCATGTTTAAAAATCTGAGATTCTAACTGCCTTAAAGGTCCACCAAATGGACCATTATGTTTCTTCCATACTGGAAAGGAAGATCTTTATCCACTTTTTGATCAGTTAGATTAAGGTATCAGGATTTGAAAAATGCCTACAATAGACATTATCCCAAGAAGTAAACCTACCAGACAAGATATGGTAGTACTGTACATTAGCTGCCATGCACCAAGATCCTACAATTTAAAAGGACAAGAGAGCTGTACTCTTGATAATGGTAACTAAAAAGCCTAGATAAGCTTTCCATTTAATTATTTTTAAAAATGCTATTTTTCTTGAAGATAAAGGTTTTTTTCCCTGCATTTTCCAACATGTTCTCTCTTTACAATAATGTAGGGGAAAAGGTGTAAAGGATTGAGGCCTGTTTTATAGCCCTCTGCTCTGGCTGAGCCAGCCCTGTGAACCTGCCCTGGACTCTGAGAGAAGGTCATTTCCAACAGGGTCAGTTCTTGCAGTTTCTTTTATTTCAAGTTTCTGCAACAAAACAACTTCTTAGCATGTCCCTCAAGCCCATAAGTTCCTCAGCCCAGAAGTTCCTGACTTTTACCTCAGAGCCTTTGTGATAACAGGATTTCCCAGTCAACAGTACCTCCAGCCTCTATTGCATGGGTGGGCAAACTTTTTGGCGCGAGGGCCACATCTGGGTGGGGAAATTGCATGCAGGGTCATGAATGTAGGGCTGGGGTTGGGGTGTGGGAGGGAGTGTGGGGTGCGGGAAGAGGCTCAAGGTAAGGGGTTGGGGCAGAGGAGGGGTGTGGGATGTATGAGGGGGCTCAGGGCAGGGTGTGGGAGGGTGCTCAGGGTAGGGTGATGGGGTATAGGGTGCAGGAGGGGGGCAGCACGGAGCTCAGGGCAGCGAGTTGGGGAGCAGGGTGCAGGAAGGGTTCAGGGTGTGGGCTCCCGCCCGGCGCTGCTTACCTGGAGTGGCTCCGGGTAGCAGTGGCACTTACCAGGTCCAGGGCAGGCTCCCTGCCTGCCCTGGCCCTGCGCTGCTCCAGCACCACATCCCTGCAGCCCCTGCGGGAGGGGGAAAGAGGGCTCCACACGATGCCCTCGCCTGCAGGTACCTCCCCTGCAGTTCCCAGTGGCCATGGTTCTCCATTCCCAGCCAATGGGAGCTGCGGGGGGCAGTGTCTCAGGCGAGGGCAGCACACAGAACCCTTTGCCCCCCCCACCACCCCTCTCGGAGCCGCAGGGACGTGGTGCCGGCTGCTTCCGGGAGCGGCCCGGGGCCCGCAGTGCCACAGGGGTGGCGTTTCCGCAGGCCAGATCCAAAGCCCTGATGGGCCGGATCCAGCCCTCAGTTTCCCCACCCCTGCTCCACTGGATACTGCTACCTGCTCCTTTTTTTATGAGGACCAGCCCTTTAAGCTCCAGGTCTTCTCCCAAGTGTGGCAGGTAGGATTAATTAGTCAGCCAGCTGCTGGCCTCTGACACCAGAGGAATACAATCCCTTTACTACAGTCACAATTATGCTCTTTACCACCTCTCCTATATTTTGTCTCTTCCATTTCTCTCCTGCACAAAAATTACCTGCATATTCTTAAAAGCCTACTTTTCTATCTTGTCTCCTCAATTCTTCCCTCTCTCCCTTGCTAAATTACATCCACTCATTCCACATCTACCCACTCCTTCATACATGGGTTTCTGATAAGTGTCAGCCCCAAAGAGCTACCAGATCAGAGCAAGAGGAGGGCCTACATTGTCAAGTGGCAATAACCAGACAAGAAAGTACCACAAAGTAGCCATTTTACAATCCACCTTCCCTTTCTCCCCACTCCCAGATCCTGGGTCCAGTTCTATATTTTTCCTAGTCCCTAGTTTACAGAGACTTAACTGTCTACTGCCTCAGTGAGCCAGTAACCCAGCCATTTTTCCTAAAGAGGACAACAATAGTTTGATTAGATGATATTGGGTTATTATTAAGAGGTTCTTTCCTCAAACAAAAACAAAGGACAGCAAATTAATTTATGAAGTAACTATATTCTGTTGTGTTGCAGGGTTTCACTCCCATCTGCCATTAAATAGATTTTTAAAAAACTCCACTTCCCACCCAGGTCCACTTACCTCCAATTCCAAGCACGGACAGTTTGGAAACCTTCCCAATAGCTAGTTTTGAGGATGGAGGTCTCTACTCTTAGGTTTTTTGTTTTTGTTTGTTTGTTTGTTTGAGGCAAGTATTGCAGAACCATGGTAAATAACACTGAGAGCTGGCTTTTAAGTCCCATCAGATTAACAGAGGTCAGTCAAGTTTATATAAAGATGTGAATACCACAAACAGCTCTAACTAGAGCTCTAGACAGTTTGT